CCAGAATTCCCCAGCCAGCGAATGCTGGCTGGGGAATTCTGGGAGTTGAAGTCCAGACATCTTCAAGTTGCCAAGGTTGAGAAACACTGCACTAGTCCATCATGAAGGTAACTTTTCCACATACAGTTGGACATAAATACAGTCCACATAAAAATGAAGGTGCCATTAAGACAAAGTGGACTCTGAACTCCTGGTATACTGGAAAAGACTTTGATTCAAGAGCAGCATGTTTGTGTCAGATCTGATTGCCACAGATCAGTCCAAACTCCAGGCCAAGCTGTTTCTTCAATGTTTCAACTCAAAGTTCACTCCTACATTTTTTAAATGTCTAATTAATTAATTATAAAGTTTTTATTTATTTATCACCGACATTCAAAACTGATCTACTCGGGATCCCACGCAACTTGTCCTTCTTCATATTGATTTTTATTTTACTTCTCAATCTAGCCTACCGCCCTTTGTAGTCTTCCATGCAAATGCTAACAAAGACCGGCCTTCCTTAATTTTCTGAGATCAGCCCATGTTGGCATGTTTTCCTCACTTAACTAGGCCCATGTAAATGGGTAACGTATTAAAACTACACTCTCTGGGAATTTCACATATTTCAATAGCATAGATCTTAAAACAGAGCTCACTAGGGATAAGGAAAGGCAAAACTTCATTACAAATTGCAATATAGAGTGCTCTGATCAGTTGCCACACTTGATGCATTGGGACTTGCGCTCATGATAGTGCAGAATAAAGTCGCCCTAATTCCATTGCACCCAAATAAGCTGCTGTAGGAGTATAGCAGATTAGGCAGCAGGTTTTGCCCATCTTACTCCTTAGCTTCTTCAGAAGCTGAGCTGTATCTGGGATCATGGACCGGACTCTTCCTCCTGAATTTCTTCCCTAACCTAACCTTCTCCAACCCTGTACAGAAAGAGAAAAATAGCCGGGACAGTTTGTCTTAATTCAAGAAGCAGTTAACTATACAAGAAGAAGTACTCAAGCCTAGTATGCTGTTTGTCTGCCAGTGTCTAGTTGTCAGTGACATTTGAAGGCATTTAGAAACATACATACATTCTTCTTGTATAGTTAACTCAGTTATCTATAGTTATACAGTTGTATAGTTAACTATAGTTATACAGTTATATAGTTAACTATAGTTAACCATAGTTATCTCAGACAAACCAGGCTTCATGTCCTAATAACAGAGCAGCTGAGAAATAAGTAACACACAACTTCCTCAAGATCTTAGCTCTTATAGTTGCAGACAGATTTGCATCTTATCACAATATTCATTAATTAGGAAATTACATAATTATTGAATTAACTATATCAAGTACCCAGCCTATTTAACGTGCAGCAAATTGCACATTCACTAATGCATGTCTTTGCTTTTCATCCTTTGCTTAGTTCAGGCAAAAGATTTATGAGTTGATGGTTAAATGTTTACTTCCTTCATGCTTCTTAGGACCAAAATGTGCTGTCCAGGATCTTTATGTTAAAATGAATTACTTGTTGTTGCTGCTTCAAAAATCTGGTAGACTCATAGCTGGTGGACAGATATTTGATGTTGCAGGTGCTCTTTAACTCATTTTAAATTTGATTGCTTTTTGGCTTATCTCAATGAAAAGGTTTAATTTTCTGCAATTGTAAGTTGTCTTACAAATTCATTTAACATTTTAGGGGGTCACAAAGTTTGAAAGTTTCAAGTGATCTACAGCATCCCCACACACAGTACATGTTTACATATGTAATAAATCAAGCAAAATTAAGCTTGTCAACTTTTCAGTCTATTCCTCCATTAAATAATTAAAAGAATGTTCCATTGACTTTTTTGGCTACCGCCATACACCACTAGCTCATATTTAAGTGTTTGTCCACTAGAACTTACACTTAGGCAAGAAAATCCAAAAGTACACATATAGACTGGGTGATACCAGGCTTAATAGCAGTAACTGTAAGAGGGATCTTGGAGAGTGGAAAAAGCAGTTAAATATGAATCAGCAGTGTGCAGCAGCAGTCAAAAAAAGCCAATACAATCCTAAATTGCATTCACAGAGGGATACAATCAAAATCAAGTGAGGTACTAATACCATACCTAGAATATTTCATCCAGTTTTGGTCACCACACTATAAAAAAGATGTTGAGACTCTAGAAAAAGTGCAGAGAAGAGCAACCAGAATGATTAGGGGTCTGGAGATTAAAAGTTATGAAGAACCATTACAGGACCTGGGCAAGGCTAGTCTAGAAGAGAAGCATCAGGGGAGACATGATAGCAATGTTCCAATATTACCACAGAAAGGAGGGAGTCAAGCAGATGTGGTATTCAGCCGGTTTGGACTGGTTTGGGTGAACTGGTAGTGGAAATTTTAACTGGTTTGCTGAACTGGCAAATACTGCCTCTGGCTGGCCCCACTCCCACCTGCCCATCCGCCACTTGCCCTGCCCACCAACCCCCCCACCCTGTTCTGACCCTCCAGCCTGTGAATACATTAGAACACAGGCTTGGCTTTTACCACTGCTCAATTACTGAGATAATCCTTTGGCTGAGGGCCCAGGCAACTCACGTTCAATACAGTAGCTCTGCTTCAACCCAGATAATCCAAACGAAGCAACCCAGAGAGTCCCAAACGAACAGACACGGCTAGAATACACGGATAGATTTTATCCACTACTAATTCGAATGGTTGTTTCCTGCTAATGTCCCCTCCCAACGCCTCACCTATAATCTCTCTTGGGAGGGGCCAATCAACAACCACCTGGGCCTAATCATTTTCTGTGAGACTGCCTACGGAGTTGCTGCTTCCATTTCTCAGCCCTTCTCAATCTAGCACTGCTCCATGCCTCAGGTGCCTCCTGGTGGCCAATCAGCCTCTCTGGTCCCTGCTCTGAGTCTGAACCCTGCACAGGATCCTCCACAGGGCCGGATTTTCCTATAGGCTAACTAGNCTCCCATCCGGTCACATGGGCGGCAAGCCACTCCCACAAAGGAGGCCACACCCACAGAGTAGGTTCGAACAATTTTTGAAACCCACCACTGGTAAGTTTTCTCTAAACTGCACACACACGCACATCAAAGTGCACACTCAGCGAACCGGTTGTTAAACCGGTAGGATCCCACCTATAGGATCCCTGCCTATAGTTATA